TAGCTGTTCCACCGATACAACCGTAAAGCGGAGCGCATACAATAAATAAAGCAAAAAATATCATTTTGTCTTTTAAATTAGCACTCAAAATTCAATTCAATTATTCTTTTAAAAATATTAATTTTATAATTAAATTATTTAATTTTACATTAATTTTACTCCATCACTAATTAATGTCTATAATCAGATAGAAATGACTAATATCACACCCAAATTTCATTTAAAATTTTATTTTACTATCAAATTATGCCAAAACATAAATTAGATTCTTAAATAAAACTAATTTTGGGATCAATTGATATTTTAAAGATAATTTAGGGTAAAATAAAATTTTAAATGAAATTTCAATAAAATGTCAACAATTTTGTTTGATTATAAACCTCAACTAACGGCGAGATAAAGTTAGTTTAAAATCAAATAGTTCTAAGTATAAAATTAATATTACTAAAAGAAAAAGAATTGAATTAATTTTTTAAGCCATAGTTTGAAAGGCAAAATGTCATTTTTTCTACAATAATAAATGAAAAGCCAAAAAGCAAAACAAAAATAGTAATACTGGATATTCCAAAAATTTTATTAAATTTTTTATCAAATGTCTCATATAAATGTGTGATGCACATGTGACTTACATGGTATGGGTTGTATACCTATATAAGACATTTAGTAGAAAATTTGGTAAAACTTGTACACTCCATTTGGATGTGGAGAGGTCTTGTGAGAAAATAAAAGAAATAATGAGAATAAGACCCCCCTTCACTTGTTTGGATGGTTAAGTAAGTGACAAATGGTGAGAGATAGTAAGAAAATGATTCTCACCAAACTTATGTTTTATTTCTCACAAAAAGTGGTGAGATTTTGTGAGTAATTAATTGGGATTAATGAAAGTTTTTTAAAATTATGAAAAACCATAAGTTATTAATATGAAAGGTTATTTCAGTAAAATAAAATAAAATACTTTCATTTCTTTTATTTTATTTACTCTATCCAACCTTCTCTTTTCTTTTTTTTCATCCAAATATAATAGTATTATTTGAGAAGTTAACTATTTTAGTAGGCTAAAATATTTGTATTTGGAAAGAGGATTGGATTTTTTTACAGTGTAATGTTTATAAGAGAAAAATTGAAATGATTATGAATTTGATGTGACATTTATCTTATTAGCTATTTTAGTCTATTTTACCTTTGAGTGAATTATATTAACAGTCCCTATAGGTTGGGATTTGTGTCACTTTGGTTCCTGACTTTTCAATTGTGATATATTTGATCATGAATTTTGAATCTCGTTTTAAATAAGGACAATTGAAGAGATTATTACCATATTTGAAGGGCAAAATCGTCATACAATTTATTTTGTATTGGTTAACTTATATTGTTTGAAATCTAATGACATTTTATTTAATCGTCATACACTAATTTAATTTTTAGTTTCTTAGAAACAAAATTAGTGAAAAACAACACATCATTTTTATATGATTTTATCTTTTGATAGGGTAAAAATATATATTTTTTGATATTTATTTTCGTTAAATTAGTTTTTATTTTTTCAAAAGTAAAACATGGTAACAATTTTAATGTCATTATTAAACCAATCCATTTAGTCAAAAAATTCAAAACTAAAAATATTTCATATATTAAACGTATTGATTATACATTAAAAGCCTAATAACCATCAATTATATGATAACTACAAATTTTTTTTTTTAACAACAAATACAATAATTTATTACATAATAACCATTTAAAAATATCAACAAAAATAACCACCTATTACATGATCATCCAAGCATATACTAAAAATTAATTTGATAAAAAATAAAAATGTAAAAGATTTATCATTTTTATTTAATTTTATCTTTGGTGATTATAAATAATTTTTTAAAATTTAAAAATAATTTTTTGACATTTATTTTTATCAAACTAGTTTATATTTTATCAAATTGATGATTTTGACTTTAAAATGTAGCAACAATATTTTCAATTGTCCTTATTTAGAACGAGATTCAAAATTTAGAATCAAATGTATTACAATTAAAATGTCATAGACTAGAGTGATACAAACCCTGAACTATAAGGACTATTAATATAACAAAAATGTTTGAGACTCTTTTTTTTGGAACCCTTTGGATCTTAACCATTGATGTATGCGTGAGACCCATTTATGTATGTGTGGGGCTACACCATTTATGGTTAAGATCCAAAAAGGATTATGGAATTCTAAAAAAAGATCTCAATCATTGTTATTAATATAACTCCTCCTTAATTATTTTTTTTTTTTGTAAATTTTAATTTCCCAAATCATAATTATTTCTAAAAAATTTAGAAATAATTTTAGAAAGAAAAATATAAAAAATATGTGAAATTATTTGAATTGTAAATATATTTTATTTATTTTTTTTAACCAAGCATAGCGTTACATCCGTAGCATTTTTTTTTTTTAAGGGCAGAACCGGGGTCCTCCACCGTGTCAATCCTTGTCGAATCGTCCGTGTACTCCACTTATGGTGAGTTTAGCTTTCTCTACTAGATTCCAAACGTGCGATTAACACAATTATTACCAATGCCCTCCTGCAAAAAGCACACTATTATACTTCGCTTAGTTCTCCCCTCTCTCTTATCAATGGCGTGACTGCTTTAACAGTTTCAAAGATCTCTGCTCCTCGTTTTCTCTCACTTTCCTCTCTTTCTCTCTCTCTAAAATTCTTAACATTGTTCCCATATTTGGTTCTATATATAGATTTTCAGTGTTGTAGGCTAGTGATTGGTTTTTGAGATTTTTTGGGTGGGATTGATTGACACAGCTATGAGGAAGCTTATGGGTTTATGGGTTCTATTTGTTGTTGGGTTTGTTAGCAAATGTGTAGATGGGTTTGAGTATTTCAATCTGACAGAGCTTCGATTTGAATCTTTTTTTTTTTTGTTGCTTGATTTATATGTGTATTGCATTCAATTGTTTATTTCTTTTTTATTTTTTTTTTATTTTTTAAAATTTTTTAAATTCAATTGTCTACATTATGGCCACTATGCATAATTCTATATTGATTGATGTTACTTTTCACTGTTTTCTTTATTTGGTAAAGCAAGTTTTTTGCTTTTTTAAAACTGATTTCTAATTATTGATTGATTTTGTAACGCGTTTTCATGTTTGCCTTTTCTCTTGGTTTACTTTTATTGGGTGAGTGATCTGATTGAGGTGCTTTTGTGTCATGGCATGATATTAATTGCATAATTATATCAATTTGTTAGCCTGTTTGTTTTGTGTTTTTTTATCTGCTAAAAAGTTTGTTGATAATGGTTAGATTAGAGAGTTAGGCCTCGTTTGGTAACAGGCTATTTTAGTCAATTAGTCAAAAAGTTACTAAATTAGCCAAAAAGCCAACAACCCATACCAAAAAGTCAAAGATTCTCTTTTCTCTCTACTTTTTGCACATCTTTTCGTAATTAGTCAAAAAATCATCCCAAACATACAAGTTTTTTTTACCTACCTTTTTAGCCAAATAGCCAAAAAGTTACTAAATTAGCCTGTTCCCAAACGAGGCCTAGCCTCCCATTCTTACAAATCATCCAGTACTTTCCTCTTTATTCAATTGCCCGTTGGCTTTGTTTGGTTCAAATATTTGGAGAGGGATTTAGAAAAGGAAAGGGAAAGGGAAAGGGAAAATAATGGTGAAATTTGAATAAAATATATCTACATTTTTATCGAGTTTCACATAATTTTCCATTTTTCTTTATAAATCCGTTCCCAAATCCGTGAACCAAACACGACCTTAGGAAGAGTTGAACCCATGACCTCTCCTTGGGATTAAGCCCTTAACGCTGTGTTTGGTTGGGAGATTTGGGAAGGGAAAGAAAAAAAATAGGTGAAATGTAAATAAAATATTCTTATATTTTATCTAGTTTCATACATCTTTTTTCTTTTTATTTCCAAAGCCCCCAACCAAACCCAACCAAACACAAGAGAGTCATGGTGACCAACTAGACTAGGTTTAGTTGGTTAGCCTGTTGCTATCAATTTGTTAGCCTGTTGCTATCAATTAGTGTTGTTTGGTAGTACGGATAGTAATTAGTGGATTTGGTTGGTTAAATTTAGGTCTTCACAACTATCATTTTCTCATATTAATGATGCATCAACATGCCCTTTTAGTAAAAGGATTGGGCTTCTCAAATTTAAATTTGAATCAAATATAACGGATTTGTTTTAATGATCCGAATTGTTCATTTTGTAAGCCTCTCAAATTGTTTCAAATTTAGATTTGAACTTGAAAGAAACTCAACCCGTAAAGTAGTAGAGTTAGAGTAATCATCATTACTTTGTGACAATTCCTATGGGTGGCCCAGTGGCTAAGGGCTTAAATATGAGAGGTCTGCTATGGATACTTCTCGAATTGAGTCTCATGAGGTAATAAAACACTCGGGTTTAATTGACACGTGATTTGTGGGTGATTGTGCATATCCAGAGTTTAGTGATAAGATTTTGTATTGGATGATAGGTTGGGCTGGTTGGAGTTCTTGGTCTTTAAAAAAGTAAAAAAAATACCTTAATGTGGTACAATTTTGTCCCAAAAAAAAAAATAAAATAAAAAAAAAATTGACAATTCCAAAATTTTTCCTAAATATTTTCTTGAAAGTTTCCGGTAGGAGGTAAAGAAAATCAAATATACGAACTAGAGAGAATGCAGTTTTTGCATGACCAAATGTAAAACAATTGGGCCCTAATGTTTCTAGATTTGTGTTTTAACATAATTAATTCATACCTATACTTTATTGGATGTCTATTATTAAAATATAATTGCTATCATTATTTAGAACTCTATTAAATTTATTAGTGTGATCTAAATGACCCTACCTTTATCATACACCACATTTTAGAGTATGTGATATACTACATTCATGTTCCCATTCCTTGTATTGGAACAATCTGCATTCAAGATAACATAGCTTCAAAGTTATATATCTCATCTTATTTGAAGTTTTAATGATTGCGAAATTAGATACTTACTTTTCCTTGTTATGAAATCTACCTAATTTCCCCCTCCACCATTTATCTTGTGGTGTGGTTTACTTTTACAGTATGTTTGGATGGAACATTACCCGGTTATCATTTCCACCGCGGATATGATTCAGGAGCAAACAGTTGGCTCATTCAATTGGAGGTATGTGAGACAGCTTGAAAATACTTGTCCTTTTTCTTACATTTTTACTTTTACACGTTAAAGTGTTTTTCATTATCCCAAAGAAAACACACACACACACACACACATGCACACACACGCTGATGTTCCACTGTTTCAAGTACCAAACTGTCTGATAAATCTGTAGTTCCAGATACCCGTTGCTCCTCTAATCCTTAAAACACAAGTATATTGATAGGGAAGATTATGTTATTTCTAGTGGCAACCAGAGCACACAATTCTAACAGGTTCTATGTGATCGACTAAACAAAGAAAAATTATTAATAATTTGGAGTTCAAAGAAAAATGAACTGAAATGCGAGATTTTCAAGCACTATGTTATTATGAGTTGGAATTTCCTTTAGCTCACATAAATCGCTCCGTAAATCTGAGGATTACTTCTAGAAAAATGTTTCCTCCTGTTTTCAATGCAAGATGTTTGATAGTCTGTTGATGACATGTTATGCAGTTATCAAATTAGAGAAAAGTTTTGTTTCGTATTTTTTGCGGGCTTATCAGTATTTGAATCTGTGGGCTGACAATATCTTGGCAGGCTGCTTCATGCTACAGATTTTTCAACTATACTTCTTGGTTTTGATTGAGAACCTGACTTTGTGGGACATCTTGTGACAGGGTGGAGGATGGTGTCATGCCATACGATCTTGTGTTTACCGCAAAACGACTCGGCGTGGATCATCAACTTACATGGAAAAGCAGATACCATTTACAGGAATACTTAGCAATAAGGCTGAAGAAAATCCAGGTATTCTCTCAATCTCAAAGTACATCTAGTTCCTATTTTTTTTAAAAAAAAAAAAAAAAAAACTACATATAGTTAAATCATTAATACAACTTCCTTCTTCTATCTCCTTCGGTATTATTATTTTATTTTTTGTAGCTATGTTCTGGACGTGTGTGTACGATCATTTTGCTGACTAAAGGTCTTGTTTCATTGCAGATTTTTTCAATTGGAATAGAGTAAAGGTTCGTTATTGTGATGGTGCCTCCTTTGCTGGGGATAGTGAAGATAAGGTTAGTGGGAGAGTATGTGGTATTTTTATTTTCTTGCTCAACCAATATTGATGCTCTATTTGGCTACAAAAAACCTGAACAAAATGAACGAAATTGCTACCTTACGACCCCTGTCCTTTTTGTTGGTGGGTATTGTGGCCCTAATCCTTACCACAAGTAAATGTAATAAGGTATATTGAGGATATTTCCTCCTATGTCATTGCCTGCCATGTGGCACATAGAGGCATGGGGTTTATTTGAAATTTGAAACAGTTCTCTACCAAAAATCACTTATTGGATATAGTCACAGCCTTAACACTCAGTTTTATTCATCAACTCTGAATAATAAAATGCAAAACTTTATTTATAGCAATGTTTTGAAACTAGACTAGATCGGCCGGTTCAACCGGTTGACCCATCGACTGGTCCATAGTCTGGTCTACCCTCTAAGCTTCAAAACTGGCTATTTTAGATGAACCGGATAAATCCACGGTTGAACCGGTAAATCGGACAAACCAGCACCGGTTGAAGTAAACCGGCCAGCCTTGCGCGCGCCTATTCCAGTGTTGAAGCTTGTGAGAGTCGAACACAGCACCTTTGGTTGAAAAGGCAGCTTATTTCCATTGAGCCACCATACCTCCTTGCTTATATATAGTAAAAAAATATTATTTATGGTATTTATTATATTTTATTCCAAACAAACATATATTTAACAATTTTACAAAACTAAGTTCCAATTTCACATAAAAGTACCACAGCAAAAAAATAAAATAAAATAAAATAAAAAATAGTGGAATAATAGTATAACCACCATGTCACCTTTAACTTTAGTTTATATTTGCTAAATATATATTATTATAATATTTTCTTTCAAACATTATATATGATTAGTATATTTTACAAAAAAATAAATATAGATATATTTATGTAATTATATGTATCTTAAAATATAAAAATAATTTAAATAAATATATCTTAATTTTTATATCATTATTAAGTAATTTTTAATATATTTATAAAATAATTATGATGTCACGATTCGATTTCAACTCAACCTGATAGTTGAACTGGTTGATCCATCTACCCAATCCCTTTTTCCGGTTTGTTCACCGATCCAGTTTTTAAAACATTGATTTATACACCATTAACCCTAATTAAACCCTAACAATTTTAGGAAATATAGCCAAATATCCTAGCAAATAATTACTTATAACTAAGTAAATATTAATAATAAAATCTACTAATGACACTTATTGGACCAAAAAGTCTTATTTCCATGCAATGGGTCCATGGGCTTCCCCCGAGGGAGAAAGTAATATTTCTGAGGCTAACATATACCTATGTAAAATAAACCTGCTGATCTAATCATGTGGTCAGGCACCACTGTCCACGGGCCATGTGCCCAATTGAAGTACGCAGGCCTACATTACAGATAAGGCTCCTGCACAAGTTGCTTGACATTTATTACTTCTTTGGACCACATTACTTTTCATACTTCTTCCAAGTCATTTCAAAGAAGAGATGATTAAAGTTGTACACTTAGTTGAGTTATTCCAAGAGGCACTAGTTAGTGTTTTGTCTCCAACTTTATTTGCAACCCATAAAATGTGTAGTGTATAATAATTAAGCACTTGCAAAGAAGACTAACTAATCACTCCCTCCTTCACTACTTGTTTGTCCATTTTAGGGAATCCAACTTATAAGGAGACGTGCAATCATGACACTTCAATTCAAATTTTGAAATATTTTTACCTCCACTACCCTTCTATTTGAATTTTTAAATGGGTGTATAATGATTTATAGTGGGTAGTTTTGGAAATCTAACAAAATTAACATTTTGGGACAGATCAAAATGGAAAGGTGGACAAATAAAATGGGATGGAGGGAGTAATAATTATAGATCAAGTGATATAAGGTGTGTTTTGTCAGTAATGGAAAACTTGTAGGCATTTTAGTTCTAATAGGTATTTTGGTGTTAATTTTGACAAAACAATCTCCAATGACCTTATCTTGTAAAAATTATTCTAGTAATGCAATTTTTGATGCCTCTCTGTTACTGGATCCTGTTTCCTTCATCACATTAAATTGGTCCAAGGCGCGACAGTAACTAAATAATAATTGGTCTGAGACTGTAGATGAGATGAGAAATGGTTACTTATTTAATAGTTTGTGAAAATCTATTCCACTATCCTTCAAGAAATTAATTCACAACATCGGTTATATGAATTGGTTGACTATATTTGATCATGTACCTAAAGTTGTAAAGTGAATCAAAGATACTTGAGCTTGGCTTGTGAGTATCTGGGTTAGAGGCTTGCCCTAAATCAACTAACAAATAAGCCAAGCTTCATGTAGTAGCTTGACTTGAATTTTGTTTCATAAGGTAGTGGGCTTCCTAGAACCATATAACGAAGTGAGCTACTCAAGCTCACATCAAGATTGGCTCATGTAGAAGCTTGCTTGAGATCGTTCGTAAGATAAATGAGTTCAGCAATCCACAACTCGGTTGATTCCATTCATTTATTGAGTCAAGACCTTGTTTTGATCATTGGTTTGTGTACACTTCTTCAAGAAATATTATTTCATTTCTAGGCTGCACAACTGGAATTTAGAGGGCAACGCATATGGTCAGCTGCTATGGAAGATTTAATGTCAAGGGGGATGAGCAATGCCGACCAGGTTTTATGTGTACCAAATCATTCAATTCTGTCCATGCCTTTTTGCCATTATTTTGATTCTTCTTTTGAAAATACGAATCCATTTTGTTTCAGGCTCTTCTTTCAGGGTGTTCTGCTGGGGGCCTGGCTTCTATATTACATTGTGATGAGTTTCGAAATTTATTTCCTGCAAGTACTAAAGTAAAGTGCTTGAGTGATGCTGGATTATTCCTTGACGCGTAACTACTAAAACTCTAGTAGTTTGATTATATCCTGTAAAACTTATATTTGTATATCCTCCTAAGCTTGGTAGTTAGTAGTTAACGTTTTTATGGTCGACTTTTTTGGCATTGCAGGGTTGATGTATCTGGTGGGCACACCCTTAGGAATTTTTTTAGTGGTGTGGTTAGCTTGCAGGTACTTAACAGAAAGCTCCCCCCCCCTCCTTCCCATTTTCCATATAATCTACATGTCTATCATCTCCTGCATGCACACTAGTTACTGTGGGAACTGGAAGTAAGCTGTAACACACATATATATGACCAAAGTTATAATATATGTAATGAGTCTTGTAATTTCATTAAAATTTATTACTTTCAAACCATGCATATGCTGCCTCTGATTGGCGGCCAACTAGAAAGGGAATATGGAAGTTGATTTTATTTTATTATTATTTTATGTCTCTGTATCTATCAAAATACTGTCCCTCTTCCTTGCAACATTTGTTGGTAAAAAGCACGGTCACTTCTTAGAAGGTGGCTTATCTTGTCGGACACTGATACCACACAAATCTCATTTGACACTTGGTGGACACATGTTCAAACATGTCTTACTATCATTTAATTATTTTGTAATATATTTTTAAAGTGAAACCTGCCATAATTGTTTAATTTTTATATCCAAAAACTTGATGTATGACTTGAGCAATTTAAAGAAGTTGTGCACATGCCTGTCTAGTAACTTACTAGTTTTATTTCTTGAATATTTCTTGTTGAGCATGGTCATCTGACATCCTATACATTCTTGATCATTTGAAATATGTTTAACTACTAGGGGGTGCAAAAGAATCTTCCAAGTAGTTGTACCGAGAATCTTGATCCGACTTCGGTGAGTCTGTTCCTTCAATTTTCTTGGCAAATGCAAGAGATTTAATTGCATAAGAAAATACCAAATTCTGTTCAATCCCATCATTCTCAAACTCACTTTGACTTTCATATCATTCTTCCATTACAGTGCTTCTTCCCCGAGAACTTAATTGCCAATGTCAAAACCCCTCTATTTATTCTCAATGCAGCCTATGATTCATGGCAGGTAATATCTTGTTTCTGTAGAGTTTGCTAAATTTAGTTCACCTGGAGTTTCACTCATGCAGCAAAACAACTGACAATGGCTTGCTTTGTGACTGCTTTTAAGCGTGTTAAATGAAAAACTTGATAAATTCTTAATTTCGCAATTCAGGTCCAGGCCAGTTTAGCTCCTGCATCAGCTGATCCTAGTGGCAGTTGGCGTGACTGCAAAATGAATCACGCAAGTTGTTCAGAATCACAGATCCAGTTTCTGCAAGGTGGTTTTATATAACAGAAATTACTCAATTGGCATGACTATTAACAAATTTAATCAGCTTTGTTAAAAATGTAGTATAGAAATTTCATCAATTGATTAAAGATTTTGTATATTCTTTGGAGCAGACTTCAGAAATCATATGCTGAATGCAATAGAGGGATTCTCAACGTCCGAGGAAAATGGGTTATTCATAAATTCATGTTTTGCTCACTGCCAAACAGAGAGACAGGATACATGGTTTGCTGATGATTCACCTCTTGTTGGCAATAAGGTACAGCTGATGTGTGGTTACTATGTATTAGTTCTATTGAATACTAGTATAGATTTGTAGTCAATCATGGTTTTCCTTTCTGCCTTGAGCTATGTCATATTTTGATTTCTCTTGACCTAGCCTTCAATTTATGTCAATCACCCATACTTTTCAAGTCAGTTAATGCCAATCTCATGCTCAATGTTTGGTTTTACTTATCACAATTAACTCATACTCAAGTTCTGTTAATAGAAATAAACACGCACGCATATGAAGAAAACATAAAGAAAAATTAGCACCTATGCTCATACACACATCAAGGAGGCCTAGGTCTCATACTTGTACATTTGCATCACTCTATGTTAGCTGGAATGCGGATTGTTCCGGTTCGTGTGGTACGCCACACTAGGCTGCAAACGAGCTGAACCGAATATCAACTTTGTTCGAGCTTGGCTCAAGTAAGTGCTCGAGCTTGGCTTGAGCTCGAGCTCAACTCGTTGGACTAAAACAAAACTCGAGCTCAGCTCTTGTGTCTCGACTTTACAATATGTATTCTCTCCTAACAGCCGCAGCAAAGATGGCCTGCTGGCGTCCCTCAATTATATACAGCTTTTTGTGCCTATTGAATGTATAAAGAAGTGATGTGGGACTCTTAACCATTGCAAACTTGCACACGTCATTTACAATTTTTTTTTTTTTTTTGGTGAAGTTCATTCAGTGGCTCTCCCACATCGAAGGATAACGAAAATTGAACTAATCTCACCCTTCATAAATTGTTTTCCATCATGTTACATTTCCATGAGCAGTGCATTATTTGTTTATTATTATTATATATATAGTGTGAGAATAAAAGTCTTGGTTGTTGAGCGCAGTGGCAGAGCCACAAAAATAATTTACAACGATACTTGTTAATTAAAATTTTAATTTTTTTTCTTCATAGCCAATAGTAATAGATAATAATTTTTAAATTAATATGAAGTACAAAATCTTAAATATTAATATAAAAGTTTTTAAATTTTTATTTTTATAATTGATAGGCTCGAGCTCGACTTGTTTGGTAATCAAACGAGCTTGAGCAAGCTGCAAATGAGCCGAGCTTCGAGCTATTCATGAACAACTCCGTTCATTTGCAGTCCTATGCCACATGCTCTAAAATGTTGTGTAATAGAAGCAAACTTGTATTATACTACTTTTAGAGTATTTTTCTTTTAACATTTAGACATCCAATGAAATGTAGGGCTTTTTTTTTTTTAATTTTTTGTCTCTTCTTTTTTGTCCCGAATTAATCATGTAGTAACTGTAACACATTTCTATCATCGTGACCCAAGACACTTTTTCCTGTCAAAACTTGACTCACAATTATTCTTTTTTATTTTTTATTTTTCTTCTAAGAAAACCTTTACGCTGTGTTTAGATTATGAATTTAGATGGGAATTTGGAAAGAGGAAGGGAAATGGAGAAAAAAATTTAGCAAATATTTCATTCACATTATTATCACATTTTCTCTTTCTCTTTTCAAATCCTTACCCATATCTATTATCTAAACAAAAAGCACTTTTGATATGCTAAATTTACCTTTTGGAATGAAAATATACCATGTTTCAAAACGTGTGTTCCAAAATGTAATTTGCTTGCATTTTTTTGGTGACACTAGCATCACTAATGACCTCTATAGAAGCTACATGAATCAAGAAATACATATTACCTCAAGGTGTAGCGACTATAACCAAATGCGAGGAAATTTTGTCAAGAGGCCCAGCTTGGAGAAAACTTGAGGAGATGCTTCCAAATGTCCACTAACCTAGACTCTAGTTTTTTGGAGATCTAGTAAAACTAGAACTTAACTTGAAATTATTGGTCCTTGAGATTTGTGATTTAGTTATTGTTAGTGTGTGTTTGTTTGTTTTCCCCTTTTTAATCTTTTAAGAGAGCATATAATACAAATAATCAAGAATTGAAGATTTAATCCCACATAAACATACCTCATTGGACTCAAAAACAATTCAAAGATGGAATGTAGGTACTTTTGATCACTTGTTGGGTTCACTTGTGTGCTCCTTTTGCATACTTGTTATCGTTGAGCAAAAGAATTGTGAACTATCTAATATGGGATGTTTAACGATGGCAGGGGATTGCGCTATCTGTTGGAGATTGGTATTTTGATCGATCAAGCGTTAAGGCCTTTGACTGTGCGTACCCCTGTGACAAAACTTGTCACAATCTGATTTTCAAATAAGGCAGCAACATATATGTATTTATTATTATTATTGTTATTTTTAATTTCATTGGCACATTTATGTTGTCATCTTAGTGAGTTATCTCAGCTCCCATTCATAAAGCTAGCAATTTTTAATCTTCATTAAAGACAATAAAATTGCAATTCGTCGACTAAGTGCACATGATTTATATACTTAATTTTCTTTCTTCTATTTTAGAGTAGTGTAATTCTGAATCTTTGATAAGCATGTGTTATGCTTGTAAAGAAAAATTAACACCTATGTCATACACACATCAAGTAGGCCTAGGTCTCATACTTGTACATTTGCATCACTCTATATTAGCTGGAATGCAGATCTACTCTATATATTTATCTCTGTAGTAATGACTTTGTAATAACAAAGTTGTTTCAGTGGCTACAATTATGATTTGGTGTATTAGCTTGATGTATATATTGTTGGTTTCATTCCATAATAGTTTAAACTTTTGTTACTACAATTGTCTTGACATTGTATCTGAGCTCTATTTCAAGAGGTTTATCTCTTGCACCTTTTGCGAGTTATGTTTTCTCTTAATGTGTGTGCAAGATGAGATCGCATATGATTGGGAGAGTTAGGGGTGTTTGGTGGGGCTTTTTTGAGTCAACTTATGGTTTCTGGCTTTTAAAAAGTTATTTTGGATTGTTTGGATAAACTTATTTCAAACAATTTCTGATTCTAACAACTTATTTTAAGTCAAAAAAGTTGATTTTGAGAAGCTGTTCACCCTTTCCTTCTAATTATCAGCTTCTGCTGTGGACATGTTAATTTACGGTTATACTCTTAAATTTTTTTATTTTTTATTTTTTTAAAAATAGAAAAAGACCCAAATGGATTATAAAATATTATTATTATTTTTTATGAGAAATGTAGACAAATAGTGAATAATAAAAAATAAAAGTTAATTGAAAAAGTTACTTCATAGCTCATTTAACAAACATTACTCAGCAACTTAAATCTATAATCCAACAACTATACCAAATAGATTAATAGTTTCTGATTAAAGTTATAATTTATAATCTGTTAAGTTATAATTTATAATCTGTTTTAACAGTTACATCAAACAACACTTTAGATTCATATACATCTAAAAAGTAAATAAATTTGAGTAAAATATTTTAAAAATTCACTAAAAACACAAAAATATAAAAAATAAAAAACTCAAAAATTATTTCTAAATTTATTTAATTTGTTGCTGTTTTGTTGGCAAAGAATGTTGAAGGAAGTGTCCAAATCTTTTTAAATTCTTGACCCAATTAGGAACAAAGGCATCTAATTTGCAACCACTAAGGAGCAAGGTTGTGAATTCTGTACCAGTCGATGTACTTGTTTTTTATTGATACGGTGGCGTGTTGTTGATAATTTTTTTGATACTATGTTGAATTTATTATTATAAATATTATATATTTATTAAATAAATTGTACGTCACCAAATAATTTTAATATAACGTAATGTATTTAATTAGCAAAATCATTGTTCTAAAAAATTAGATTAGCTAGTCAATTGGCCATATTTTTATCAAGTAAGCATATTACAATAACTACTGTCAAACACACATTCAGAGATGTAAGAAATAATGTATAAAATGTAAGAAATAATGTATAAAGAAAGAGAGAATAAATTGTGTATATATTGATATATTAAATGTTATATTTGAGTATTCTTACAAGGGGAATGCACTCTCTTTTATAGAGAGAATTTGAGCATTGGATGCCCACTGACAGTGTGATGCATTGTACATTATAAAATATAAAGCTAAAGCTATACACTAACATGATATAAAGCTAAAGCTATACACTAACAGACATAATCATACACTAGCATGCTAAAGCTAATCATATACTAACAGCCCCTCTCAAACTCAAGGAGGATAGGTACTAGCCAACTTGAGTTTGGAGAGAGTAACAAAACAGGAAAATAGGATAGAAGACACTGTATGGTCGTGTCGAACCGTTGGTGAAGACACTGTATGGTTGTGTCAGACTGTTGTAGGAGCTAACCGGAATCAATGTCGGGACAGTTTACGGGGTCATGTCGGACCGTTGTAGAAGCTGACCGGAATCAATGTCGGGACAGTTTATGGGGTCATGTCGGACCGATGTAAAAGCTTGTGGTGGTGCACCAAGGAGGCGACTTAGGGAGTGCGCCATGGGATGGCTTGAGTGGTTCCCATGGTGTGTAACCATGCTCACTATGATATATGTATAACCCCCCCTCAAACTCAAATAGGTGTGAAGATAGAAAACTATTTGAGGTTGAAATAAAGTGAGTGATAAAGGGGATCAAGACAGTTTACGGGGTCATGTCGGACCGATGTAGCAGACACTGTGTGGTCGTGGCAGACCGTGGGAGCCCAAAAGATAGAGATATATAGATATATATATCGCACCCTCAAAAGTCGTGCCCAATCTATCAAAAGGTGTGCCATCAAAAGGCGTACCCAATCCATAAAAAGGTGTGCCGGACATGATGGCGAGGCGCGTGACTACCTTGGCTTGCGCGCCCGTTTTGTCGTCTGGCGTCAAGTGGCGCACGATGCGCGTATCGGCCCTGGCTATTTAAACCAAGGTTGAGGCGGAGGCTGTGCAAACCAGTCTGAAACCTCTGATCATTGGCATTCTGAAACACTCTGTAAACATTCTGTAACCAACCCTTCTCTGAAACACGCAGCAACCCATAACATGGCCTCCTCTTCTTCCCGTCCAGCTACCCAGAACATGGCCTCCTCTTCCCGTGGTCTGCTCACGCTCTTTCCAGAACTGAACGAGTCCACAAGAGAAATAACTGGTGCGGCGGCCAGTGAACCTCAACCAAACACCTCTGGTTTTGCTCCATTGAACTTTCCGATGCGGTCGGTGGAGCAAAAAATGGCGGTGCAAACTGATATTGAGGCCAATCAGTATACTCTGAAGTCATGCGTGGAAACCATGACTGCGGTCACAAATTTGTCGCACCGGCTGCAGAGCAGGACAAATGAGGTGCAACAGTTAAACTCCCAGCTGGCTCTGCTCCAACGCATGTATAAGGATGCGCGAGTAGAGATAAGTGTGCTAAAGTCAGAAAACAAGGAGCTGAAGCGGAAGGCCACCGTGATGTTCCGATTTGGAGGTCCGCCATATGCTGCAGTGGAGGAGTATGGGGGAGTGAACGTGCTCGGCGGCGTGGAAAACACGGAGGCAGCACCGTCAAGGGCCGCTCAGGACGGAGGCAAAAAGAAGAGAACGGCTGCAGAGTAGAGAAGAAAAATCCCACCTGTGGATGTGGTGGTTTGTTTGTATTTTTTTTATTTATTTTTTTTTTTTTGTGGTGTGTTTGTGTTTGGTTTTTGTTTTTGTTTTTGTTTTTTTTGTTTTTTTTTGTTTTTTGTAAAATTGTGATCGGGGTTGCTCCCGTCATGAAAAAAATGATAAGTTTGTAGAATGAAAACCGAGATGGTTGTGAAGGGTTTTTTTTTTTTTTTTTTTTTTTTTTTTTTTGCAAGGAAGGGAATCAAAATAAAAAAAAAAAATTGGGGATGGTGATGATGAATATATAATGATGAATAAAAATAATAAAGGAGGGAGTGGGGGAACAGGGCGAATTGAGAGCGCCAATTAAGCTTTATAATAAAAAATAAAGTTTGGGTGGTGGATGGGTGTGATTAAAGAAATTAGAAGTTAGAATAATAAAAAGAAAGGTTGGGCGGTGTGATTAAAAAAAAAGAAAAGGAAGGAGGATAGGAGATAGGAAAGTGCATGTTGCAGAAACAAACGATTGCCGTGAGGTTTGGGCTGGGCCTTTGACCAGACAAAGACTGGCTGTTGCTCTTGGGAATCGATGTTCAAAAGCTGCAAAGGTGAACTCGAGTTATGAAAAAGCTTTGCTTCAAGAGGTGGATGATGATGAAGCAGATTCAGCAGCGGTGGCCATGTGCCCAACAGAGTGGGATGGAAGCTTGACCAAGGGAGCTTATAATAATCCATGTGTGTGTGTTGCGGTGAAGTGTATGAAGCTCTGTGAGAGATAGAGAGAGAGGTTGATGCCGAGAGTGAGAGAGAGCCGTGGGTCTCCTTGGGTTGATGCCAGGAGAGTGTAAAAGAAATTGAGAGAGAGATGTGAAATTGTGTGTTGCTCTCTCGGTCACGGGGTTAGGTTGTGTTGTGGGTGTGAGAGAAATCAAAGTTTGTTAGAACAATAGTGATAGGAGAGGCTTGGGGTTGATGATTGAACTGGTAAGGATGTTCACGGTGGCAGATGCGGTGGCGGTGATCGGAGTGGTGCTGGTAGTGGATGAGAAGATGGAGCAACCGAGGTGAGTGAGGACGAGGAGATGACAGTGGCGCACTGGTGGCAGCAGAAATGGAGGGTGGTTGGAGGAATTGGACCTGCCACCGTTGCTAGGCGACGATGATGGAAGAAGGGTAGCTTCCGAAGCTGCCGTTGCCGACTTGGACGACGCCGATGGAGGTGGTGATTTTACAGAGTAAGGTTGCAGAGACCAAGGTGAAAGGAGAGGAGGTATGTGTTGGAGGTTTCAATTGGCACGGTTGGGGTCCGGCGGGCAATGAAGGCAAGGTTGCCGCCCACCGTAGGTGAAGATCACCAAGAGCTAACCTATAGCTCTGATACCATGTAAGAAATAATGTATAAAATGTAAGAAATAATGTATAAAGAAAGAGAGAATAAATTGTGTATATATTGATATATTGAATGTTATATTTGAGTATTCTTACAAGGGGAATGCACTCTCTTTTATAGAGAGAATTTGAGCATTGGATGCCCACTGACAGTGTGATGCATTGTACATTATAAAATATAAAGCTAAAGCTATACACTAACATGATATAAAGCTAAAGCTATACACTAACAGACATAATCATACACTAGCATGCTAAAGCTAATCATACACTAACAAGAGAAATGGATACATACATGTCTATATGTATGTGACACATAAAATTCACCCTTAGAAATTGATCAATTTTTAAGAGTGAGTTTTGTTTAAGAGATTCATATCATTTGATATAAGAGTTAGCTATTACATCGACTATGTGATTGAACACACTTATGCTATATGGAGGAGGTGACGTGTAGGCTAGGTTAAGACAACGAAGGTGTTGAATACTAATCGGTGAGTGAAGTTGTAATAAGAAAAAGAGTTATTACTGGGTTAGTATTGATAGAGTGAGGTTAC